ATAGAATGTTTTGCTTGATGCTAAAACTGATTGATGATGCTAAGAGTTTTGGTTGATTAAACTTACTACTAGACTCAGAAAGAGGTGGTTCTACCGATTCGCAGCCTTTGCGATAACTTCAGTTATCAGTTTATTTTAATAAAATTCACTCGGCGATTTAATATAGCCCGCGATTGCAAAATTTTCAGATAAAAAAGCTGTTCCTAAAATACATCGAAACATTCTTCCTCTTTGAAGGAGGGGTAGAATTTGAAACAAATATTCAGATATCTCTGATTTGATCATATGAATTAGGGAGCTTTGATAAGATCTAGAGTTCAATGTTCTCATTAGAACTCAAAGTAAATCACAAACATATGCCGTCATAGCTTAATCATAGCTTTAGAGAATTTTTTTTTTTGAAAAAATTAGATACAAGCTTTTAAACGTTGGTCTATTACAGAAGCTACCCTTAATAGGACATTCTGGTCATGGTTGTCAACAAATAATCTTCGATATGGAGAGAAAGATCGTTATTGCGTACGTCACCAATGGAGTGAAGATGGGAATGTACAACAAATGCCGCAATTACGCACGATTACATAAAGCTGTCTATGATGTTATAGAGCGATCATAGCCATCATTTGTTTGTCAAAATCAGCTTTTCTCAATGTTTGGAAGTTTTTCATGCGTTATAATTTGATAGGAATAAGTGTATCTCAAGATGCGAAACCAGCGGATCTAGAAATTGGTTTTTGTCCTCGCATTGATGTACGTATCGAATAGTATATAATATGGTCGTAGCCCTTACCAGTTTGATTCTCAAATTTATTTCTAGGATAAAGACAAAGTCAAACTTTTTTTAATTCTTGAATTGTTTGTTCAAAATCCTTTATTTCTGTGTGTGTGTTACAGTGCTTCCCTCTGCTTCTTTTGTGAGAAGGGAAACAAATTCAAACAACGCGACTGCATTAGAAGACGGTGTAGCATATGTAAATAGACTACAAATCCATAGCGGAATATATAAAACAAAAACAAAAACATATTTCTTTACGGTCGGACAGGCTGCGTTCTGTGCAAATATGTGATATTATATAATCTCACATATTTGTAATATTTGTGATAACAACAGATCTTTTCTGCTGTTCGTTACGAGGCACAGAATAAAGAATGCCTTAGGGCTTTCAAACCAAGAAGTATTGTAGTGTCAAGTTTGCGATGTTAGTCAAATTTGTTTCAGTCTTCTCAAGATCTTAAATTTTCTCCATTTAGTATCCAAGTACTCGCTCACAATTACATCGACCAGTTTGCATATAGAGGTCGTGGCAATATAGTATATATAATTCAGACGATAGGCTGCTCCACTTCTACGCGGTCCCTAACTTATATTAATTGGTATTACAGATTAAGCGTGCAATTACCGCCATAAACGACTATTTTACAATGTATTCTATAATATACACTTGTTCGAGGCGGTCGTGTTTCATGGATGCTTAAGGCGAACAAATTATGGTCATATTAACAATTTAAGTGCAAATACGATTTGTTGGAATG